TTATGTTGTGATCGCATTTGCCATAGGACAAAAACATGTAGTTTGTGTTACAATTCAGCTCGGAGCGAATCATCCTGGCTGAGGAAAGTCCTCGCCACAATAAGTTCCTTCGCCACTGTTACAGTTGAGCACTTCTGGGAGTTGCAGAGCCATCATTCACAGACGTACTGAGGAGTTTCTTTGCCGTCGCACGTGACAGGCTGTACGAAACCTCTTGCATGGGTTCTTTGTTGCTCATTCTGGCTTCACATTTCACACCGTATTTTGCCTCCCCTGAACAGGCTCCCTACACTGAGTAATCGGTGGTTTTCCGATATGGAAATTTGAGTCACGCGTACGTGTGACGACCCCGAATATCAAAAGGAAGAATTTGGTCCGCAAGTTTACGGCACGTTCGTGGCATCAACACGTGTGTGACTCTGCCACTGACCGGTGCAGCGCAGTGTCAGCAGGGTCCGCACACGATAGAACAATGAGCGGATTGTTTGCTCAGTGGTGAGGGGTGCGGTCGTCCCTTCCGAGACCAGTCTCCCGATTGTGATTGGCTGTTTGACAGAACAAATCAGGATAGGCTCAAGAAACGGGGCACGTACACGTGTGTGTGTGTGTGTGTGTGTGCGAAATTCGCGTGTTACACCGTCCCCTTGGTCGTCTGAGTTGGCGTGTCGGAACATAAGCTATTGAGGGAATTTTCTGGAGTTGACGAAATATATGTCCTTAAAAGAGATGATCGAACGGAGGGTGTTCACTGTGAGGAAATCAGCGAGCGTATCCGTGCCCTATGCGACGGTCTGGATGAATCGTGTCTCGATATTCCCGCACTCACCCGCCAAATAATCACTGGATTGTGTCCTAGGATGACGACATCTGGACTAGACAACTTGGCCGCTGGAGAATGTGCCTATATGACAACACGATACCGCGTCTACGGGGCCTTGGCCGCTCGCCCGGCTGTTTCCAATCTGCATAAAAATACGAAAGCTTCTGTTTCGGAAGTTACAGAGGATCTGTATGGGTACGTTACTGAGCGCACGAAGCTTTATTCACTCATAATGAGTGAAGAAGTTAGCAAGATCATAAGGGAGAACGCTGACCGACTGAATTCGGAAATAGACTACCAACGTAAGCCTAACTGCAATTATTTCGATTTTACGACTCTAGAGCTCTCCTGCCTCTTCAAACTGCACGGCAAGGTTCACGAACGTCCGCTCTTGATGGCTTCCATAGGGATACATAAGCGTGACATCGATGCCGCCATTGAGACGTACAACTTAATGTCGGAGAATTGGTTCACTCACGCTTCACCGAAGGTGTTTATGAAACACTCAAAGAATGTGCTATCATCTCCAAGAATGCGGGAAGTTTCGGCGTGAATATACACAACACATGGAGTGCAGGCAATTGCATCGCCGCAACCAATGGAGATTCGAATGAAATTGTTCCCGTGTTACGTGTGTTTAATGATACTGCTCGCTACATCGACCAGGGTGAAAATAAACGTCCCGGTTGTTTCGCCGTCTACCTGGAACCGTGGCATCCGGATGTCCTCCAGTTCACTGAAATGCGAAAAAAATACTGGCGCCGAAGTAATTCATGGTCGAGACTTGTTCTGGATACCGGATATCATCGTGCGACGAGTGGAGGGAGGCGAATGGGGAGTGGACGCTCATGGATCCACACGAATGTCCAGGTTTACCTGACACACACAAACACAGACACATGAATGCACATCAGTGTCGGACGCGTCAGCCTTTGTTGCAAGGCGAATAGCCGGTGTCGAGGACTCGAAAAGGTTGAGATCACTGAGCGTCAGATTAGCACACAAGTATGCAAATGAAAGGGCGGGGGATCATCATAACGTCAAGTTAGACTATTTAGGCTAGTTAGGCCCTATTTTTTCATCTCCGTGCAAACCGGGGAAGAGAGTGTTGGAAAAGCCTATCGAAATTGTACTACGCGTCCTAACTTGACACTTTTCGTTCAATAGGCTAGACAGCATTGGAGTAAAGTGGATGACGGTCTTTGTAAGTCTGAGGCAAGGTTAGCACCAGTTAGTCTCAATTTTGAGCGGTGCATTCAAAATTGGTTTTGGTTTTTTGCTTGTTCAAGTTCGTGAACGAATTCTTTCACTGTTTAAACTGTGTACTGAGTTCGTACGTGCCATTTTGCTCAATTCTTTACATAACCTGTGCGTTAAAATGTCTGTCGGACTGTAAGCCATCGCCGCGGTGCACCCACTTACTCTCCGTCATCACGAGGTATGGATTTCACGGCTACCAAGTCCTCACTTCTAAGTCAGAAAGACTAGTGAAAAGGCTCCATTTAGATCGGAACACTGAAGGAACAAATCGCACTTTTTCAGAAAGCTCTGGAAGATGCATACATATATTGGTGTTCTCTTTTGTTAACAACAAAAACCCATTGGTAAATCAGAAGGCGAGAAAAAGACACTAATACAACCTGTATTTTGAGGGCGTGAGGTTACGACAACTAGGTGCACCTTAATCAAAAATAGAAGGTTCAAACGAAGGCGTGAGGTTACAGCAATTAGGTGAATCTTAATCAAATACAATACAATACCCAAAAATAGAAAGGTTCAAACGAAGGACTTATCGTTCTGAGTGTGAATTGTAATAGTTCCACCGAGTTCGTCTGAGTGCCGGCAGCCGTGTTTCTTTTGACAGATTCCCTGCTACACGACCCTCGTTGTCCGCAGTTTTTGGTGGTTGAGCCGGTCTGCATCTCGACGCGCGAGTGATGTGTGTGTGAGTGTGTGCTTGATTGTGTTCTGTCCTTATATATAGGTCGTTGCAATGATTGGGACATGAAAACAATGTGACATCACCTGGTGTAGTTCAAAAGGTCATGGAACGGGATTTGACATATTGTCATATTTACATCACACGATTTTGACGCGTGATTGTGAGACAGACGAAATGGAATGTGGGTAGTGGGTGCCGGTGTGAAATTGCTTAGAGGAGTAATTAAGCAGAACGGTAAGTGTGATGTACATGACTGACACTCTGTTCACTGCCCTATTCCTTATTCCCTTGTTTTAACGTTCTATATGCTGTATGTATACGCCAATTCGAATACATACGTGCTACTTGTTGCGCTGATATGAATTCTGGATTTCTAGTTCGTCTGGTTATACCGATATACTTACGAAACTTAGTTCTCACAGTAAGCGTTACAAATACTCCCCCCCTTTAGAGAGAGATCATATAAGCGTTGTCATCAATCCAGACAAGTCACGTCTTGTCTGGTGATGCACGTTGTGGGATGTGGAACAAAACAAAGCACGAGGGAGACAGTGGATGCGTATGCTCTAATCGGATTGGGCAACCGCTACACATAATGAACATAGCGGCCTGGACGAACGTCCGTAACGAACGGATCAACACATCAGACAACCCCTAACATTAAACCAGCCGGATGGTAGTCATGGACTTTTGTGTTCTTATAAGCACGCCGATGCAACTGGCCGCGACCCCAGATCGCAGTTTCCATCCAACAGTCGGGGACCCGTCAACTAGGAACGACAGCGATGCTGGGGGGGGAGGTAAGCCTCACAAGGACACAGCGCCAAGCATAATTGGAATCACCGTCGCTCATTTCTTTAGACGACGATAAAGGCGCGACGGTGAACTCCATGCCCGATTCACAAGTTCTAAGCTGGATTGGGTGAGTCGTGTGGAGACAAGCAGCGAAGTCTACCGACAGATCAACCACAAGTGTTGAACTTTACGTCGGCGACTGCTGCGAGAGCCCCACAATCACTGCGAAACCGCCGGCCTCCAACTCCATTCTGTCAAAAGCGATCTGTCCGATTGTGGACTCAGTCGTCACTCATGACCCCTCAATGAGCGTGTCCAAGGAGCTGTTACACGAACTACGAAGTTTGTCTCGTGGTGCTTGACCTCTTTCCCCTGGAGTATTGTCGCCTCCGAGGAGACCTACTTCTTACATATGCCCTGTTTGAACAAGGTCTGGCTAAGAGGGTTTTCACCGTTGACCCAGCAAGCGCAAGTCGGGGGCATTGTAAGACGATTTTCAAGGTCAGAGCGAACACTTTCATTGGGCAAAATTTTTTTCTCATTTCGGGTGGTTGATGTGTGGAATCAGAAGCACTTTTAGATGCCTCTTTAGCTGAGTCCTCACGCTGGCAAGATTACTGCCCTATCTGAGAACATGAAGACCAGTGCTTCACCCTTTTTCCGCTTGTGCCCTTCAGGTGAACAGAAGCCGCTGAACAACAAGATTAAACACAAGTCGGGAAGCGTGCGCGAAAGCCTCGATCCTGCGTATCAATGCGTGACGAAAAACCTTTGCATACACTCGTACTCACTAGAATCTACATTGATCGATCACCAGTTGGGCATGCTGGTAGAACTTCCGCCTCCTGCTCACCGCCCGGTCTTATGACTTCGGACGTACAAATAATACGGGAAGTTCAGTTAGCCAAAAATGTGGCACGCGGGCAAACACAGTTCAGCGAAAACTGCCAGCGGAATTACTTATTGTGAACTGGAGTTCGTCGGCTTCTTCCACTCTGACATATAGGTCTTAAGACGGACACCTGCGTGGCGGTGTTAAGCCTTAACACTCTTGACTGAATGTCGCCACGGGTACTTCCATTGAAGAATGCGTCCAGCACCAGAAGCTGCGTTGGTTGGGACATGTGTTACGTATGCCGAACCATCGTTTGCCGAAGGGAGTGCTGTTTTCCATGCCCAATTCGGAGTGGCGTAAACAGAGAGGTGGCCAACCCTTGACTTGGCAGAGGAGTATGAAGGAGATCACGAAACGCTTGGGTGCTGTCGGTGCTACTCGCCTTCCAGGATGGGGACCGCGTGATCCTCACTGTGCCTGGTTGGAGACACTACAATATATGGCTGCCAACCGGTGTCAGTGGTGTTCTTGTCATCAGTTTCCATTCAGAATGTCTGAGTGAATGTCTGGAGGTATGAGCACCTCGGAGTGATTGTGGTAAGCTAGTACTAAGTCCCTTCCTCGTCCATCTTTATTCTTTTCTTTACAATAAGGCTTTCTTGGTTGTACGCCAGTGAAGAATCACTGTTGAACACTGATGTCATGCTCTCAGCGATGATGCTGATGCTGATGCTGCTGCTGCTGATGATGATGATGATGATGATGATGATGATGATGATGATGATGATGATGATGATGATGATGATGATTATGAATGTTTACGCAATGTAATCCTGGTTGTAATCGAGAACTACGTTAAATCAGTTTCAGCAGAACCTGGTGACTTCCCAGCATTTGTCAGGGATACGCACCTTTTTTACTTTGATCTTTCAAACTCCTGAGGAGGGACAAAATCTAATGAAAAAATGTAGTACCCAAGCAGAATTACGACCTTGTGCTTTGTCCACTAACCGGACCTGGTCAATTTCCACGTCCTACGCTAGCTTCCACGCTCACCCGCATTAAACAGCCAAACCAAGTGCATCGACTCACATTGCGTTTCGACTCAGCAACACACCCACACGGCAGTTGCGTTACGGTGCGCGCAAGCGCATGTGAACCAATCTATACGCGCGGAATCAGGCGAGCAAGGCGAACATTCCAACGAGTAAAAATGGTATTGTGCAAATTACGTTAGCGTTCTGGTGTGGTCCACTTTGGGTCGATCAATTGCGAGTGGATGGTAGAAACACAACGGAAGCGCACATAAGCGTGGGTCTACATTGGCTGGGTCGAGTGTTGTACAACACGAGCGCGTGTTTGCACGCCGCCAAACACGCCAGCGATATCAGAAAAATGTGGTTGAGGAACTTTTCAAGTGGCTAGCGTCATAATTTCCGTACTCCGATCTACGCCCTCTTCTTTTTCGATTTGACTGACGTTTTGTTTTCGCTTCTAATGAAGTGGCATCTTCGAAGAAGCCAGAAGAAATATGAAGCGCCCGAGGTAAGTTTATCACACATTTACTGGTTTGTCAAGAAGCCAGAAGAAATATGAAGCGCCCGAGGTAAGTTTATCACACATTTACGCGACTGGTTTGTCTGGTTAACACGGGATTTGGGATGAGCTATCCCGGTCGTCATTGTATCGTCCTTTGTCAGGACGGATGAACGAACGGGCGCGTCATTTGACCGGGTCAATAGCTATTTGCTAGCAAGACACGTTATCGAGGGTGAGTGTTCCTCTCAGAACGGCATGAACTAAACAAATTTGGTGTTGAAATTACACCAGTCAGCGTCAGAAATATATGGGAATCAGTTTCTTCTATCGAGAACAAAGTCAATGGTGTGCACTGTATTAGTTTAGAGGTAGACAATGGACCCAAGAGTCACACAATCCCGAATCTCTGTGAATCCTCAAATCCGTCTATTTGGGGTGTGTGGTGCGCCACCAATCGCTTGTCTCCTAGACCAGTAACTGTGGGTTAGGGTTCCGAAATCGGATAGACGAGACAAGTCCCATTCTGGACGTCATGAGAGACGACTTATTTATACGCAGGTTTCTTGTGACAAGTAACTCAAATTAGTTTCAGAACTTTTGAAAAAGTTTGGTGACAATCGGTAGATTAATTGCTGGGCAACGTCTCGCTTTTGACACAAAAGCTTCGTCAGGCCAAGTGACTAGGTCACGAGGTTGGTCGAGATTTAAGGCGGAAAGAGAACCAATCAGCTAAGTCAAGCTAAATCTCTGTTGGGTGTCGGTTGAGGGATTTTGGTGTGTTAGAGTGGTTGAACAAGTGTTGGGTCGGTGGGTAACCTACATGTGTTTGGGTCCAGCCTAGGATCTAGTTCTTCTGGTTCCGTTCATTTGATGGTTCCTCTTGAACTTCGTTTGAACCTTCTGTCAGTCAGTCTGTGTGGGTGAGCTAGTGCTAAGAAAGTTGTGTAAGAGGGATGCTGTGACCTTTGGTCGGTTGGGGTTTCCACCCCCATCTCCCGGTTTTTTCTAATGATCCTAAGTGGATTGACAACCACACCGTCACGTATCAACTCGGGTTATCTATCAACTATTGACGATGCCAGCCAAACAATACACATAGCCCCTGGCCTTGATATATCTTTATAAAAAGTTTACATCAAGTTATTATTAGAACGGGTCATCTCAAATCATAAGAGTAAGTTAGGATGTTGGCAGGTCTACTGTCGTGCAGTGACGAATATTCGTCCATATGTACCCTGATTACTCATCACAGTCGATCATAGGACTCAGCCTGGTGTGTGTGTGTGTGTGTGTGTGTGTGTACGTCGGAAAAATACGGTAGTATCTTCCCATGAGGTGACGAAGTATGACAGAAAACCTACAGGTTGGCTGCGTCGATCCAACGAGATTGCTGTCGATGGTCCTAGAAGAACGCGAATTCCCCCTCCCCCCGTCAGGGAGAAATATCCTACTCAAGTGGATCAAATAGGGAATCATTCGGTCTGTTTCATTCCAGCTGCAGTCCGCATAACTTCAAATGCAGTATGAAGAATTGAAATCAAGAAAATAGCCGCGCGGATTCTGCGCATTGCTACTTTAGCATTTTGATTAGTTCTAATGGCTGACGATAAAGGACGGGGACTGCACTTCTGGAATAATCGAGACAGAAAAGCGTTAGACGAAGGAAAACAGTGAAATGCCGACTTCCGACAAGAGCAGTTGTTTCGGTTGATGTCTGAGTAGTCCTCAAAGTTCACAGGCCCATCTCCATGTTCCACCTCATTCTTAGGTTTCAGATAGAGCGTACCGTACTCCAGACGGTTCTGAAGGCTATGAAACAATTGGTCGAATTTCGTGCAGTTTGGAATCAAGTGGAACATAAGGTTTACGCAAACTTGGAGATTATGCCACAGGAAGGGTAGAATCGATCGTGAAAACTGGAAAGATTTTCAGCAACCACATGAGTAGTGTGTCACCGCTAGACAACGAGATGTTATTTTCGCTTAAAGCATAAAAAGGAAATGAGATGAGTCGTCAAGAGTTTTAGAAGCCCTCCGAACGGCAAACGTAGAAACAACTAGTTTTAGGTGCAAACGTACTTGCAGCTCGGGTGCGTTCATTGGTGGGTGTTCACGTGACCATTGATCAGTTCGGCGAGTTTGGCAGTTGGATTGCAATGGCTGCGTCACTAATCCAAGTGACATCATCAGTGCGTAATTGAGTGGGTGTTAGGAAGCACTCATTTTAGGTATGGACGTGCTTAGAGCTCAACTTTTCCTACATGTTTTGACAATTTTCATTGGTTCATTTTACAGCGTGCCTGCGGTGTGTCTTAGGCTCCCTTTCTCGCTGACAGACGCACACAAAAGCTCTAAATATTGGTGCACTAACACGTTCACGTGACTTTTTGACGAATTGCCACGCATGTTACCACTTTGTCTGGTTAGATCTGAACCAAGGGAATGAAAATGTTCTTGTTATTTTTTTCTGGCATGGAGTGACTACGTGAGCACAATTAAACATCGTCTGGGTTGTGAGTTGTGGTCAATCATAGTCAGCCGGAATAAATATGTCATTCATCTATGATGATGGTACCGCTCAGTTTAATACCAAGAGTATCAATCAACACTCCCCTCATCAGTGAACCCACGATAACTCCATCTGTTTGTGTGTACTTGAAATCAATTGGCTGGAGGTGCACGTTGGTGTCTGATAAAACTACGTGTGGGTCTATTCCAGCTGACGAATATACACAATTTGTGCATACATGGACCTCATGAGTACTACTCACTGAGATGTCATTTACGACTGGAGGTCAAATCCCAGTACTTATACTGCGTTTGGCCTATCGATCGATCATGCATTTGCATTTCCTCTTAAAGATGGAAGGGCACAGAAAGCGTGCGGATAAAAAAGACGAAAAAAGCGTCATACCTTCGGAAGAAAACACGAGATTCAAATGAAATACAATAGGCAATGATTTGCATGAGATAGACGTAATACACGACATCATCATCAACACTGTAATAACCGCGTACTCGTCGTATAGTGGTTGTAGCTGCCACAGTTTCGTTCACCGATGAATTGGGGGGGGGGGTAGGTAGCTGCGCATTGCAGGCGGGAGCTGGTAAATAGGTGCATAAATCCAGCACTGTAAGTTGGGGGAATCGGGAAGGAAGCTATGCATTGAAGGCAGTAGCTTGGATGCACGAGCGCCATTGAGAGGGCGACTGGGACATGTCTAACAATGTCTCTAACCATTGATGTGGCCCGTCTCTGGGTCCCCATCCAGGAAGACAGCAGGGCCCATCGCAACTGAGTTTGCTGGTAATGGCTTTTATACTTTGCTGCCAAGTCATTGTTTGACCGCCTCTGGCTCGTTTGCACCCTTCACGTGGTTGTGCGAAAACAGCCCTTCGAGGAATTCGGTCGACTGGCATACGCAGCACGTGGCCCAGCCAGAGCGACCTGTGCAGTGTGATCAGTTCATCTATCGAGGGTGAGTTATTTCTCTCGAATACCATTCGACGTACTTCAGAATTGCTGATCCGGTGTTTCCACCAGATTCGGGCAATGCTCCGAAGACATTGATGATCAAACACTTAAATTCTTTTGACGTCCTCGGCGCGCAGCGGCCAGGTTTCTGATCCATATAGTAACATGGGGCGCACCGCAGCATTGTAAACTCGATCATTAACGGATAAACTGATGTCACGTCCACGCAACAGGCGATGCAGGATCCGCACCAGGCCGCCTCAGGTTTCAGTTTTCGCGATATTCGAGTCATCGCGATACATGTACAGACGTAATACACTACTCCAAGGTTTGCTGAAAATTCTTCGACAGCCCACGACTGATTTCGCTCTTCCTCACACTTAGGAAACATCGTAAACCAGAAAGTCAGCTGGGTTCCATGGGGCGGGGGGCTCACGCGAAACTAAATTTGTTCGCAAATAAGTTCACTTCGCTAATTTCGTTTCATCACTATTCAAGGTGACATTATCAGTGCCTTGTTAGGGTGCTTGGTGCTGCTTGGTGGCACGCCCAGCTCAGCGAACCATCTACGCCACCCGAGCTGCCAAAATTTTCCTCGACGGCGAATGAAGAGCTTCAGTAACTCTGAGAAATAAAAATATTATAGGGTGGAATATGAAGTTTCTTGAAGCATGCAGACATCCTAACGATACAAACCTGGTAACGGATGAATGAGCTGCAGTGTGTATCGTCCATTACTTTGACATTTGAAATTCGCGCAGTTGTAACCCCCGCTCCACGTCTGTGTTCAGTGCGTATGTACGAACTGGCGTTTGTTTGTCCGCACCACCTACCCACTCAGTTGACCTTGAGGTCATCCAGCCATTTTGTGGCCGAACTTATGCACGTGTGACTGTCTCACGTTGGAGCCTGTTTGCTCATTTGGTTCGTACTTTGATAGTCCAAGTGGACCATCTGTTTTGGACGAGTATCAACCCAACTCCGAATTTGTACTAGCTTCCCGGAGGTTCTGGTAATACAAGTCACTGGAAGATACCGTTTGGCAGTTACACAGTATGTGAAACTAAACTCAAGCGGGGGTGAAACCCAGTGTCCGAGGGTTTTAAGGCACTGGACATACTTCAAGGAGGAGTTTTGAGGCTAAATCTGACGTTGTTCACATAGCCCAACCCATGGAGAACAACACAGACTGAGTGAGAACTATAATGGCTGATCAAATACTGGATCAGCGGTCCTCATACGACTCGTCTGGTTTCGTTGTTCTGCTCCATGTGCCAAATTGAATATTGTAGGTAGTCACAGCATGTGTGAGTCAGTGGATACCGCCAGGTTGCCCAAGCCTAGACAGGGGAAGTATAGGTCGGGTTCGAAACACGGACCTTCCGGTAGTAAATTCGCGCTCTAACCACTGATCCATCTCGCCCTCAGCACATGTTTCATTGGTTTGTCTTCAGACCCTGAGATAGTTTAGTGGTTAATACGCATACTTACTGAACTGAAGGTTCGTGGCTCGAACCCAATCCAGGCACCTCGACTGCTCCTGTCTAGGCTTGGGGAATCTGGAAGTATCTCAGCCCTTGTACGTTCTTCGGGTGACACAGCGGCTAGGCAACAAAAGCATGTCATGGCGAAGTGGTTACTTATTTGATTTAGTATACCATAAACACAATTCAGCGGCAGATAGTCCTCTATATCCAAAACTCACTGATGACTCTCTTTTAGGAATCTACTTTACATGTTTCCTGTGAGACTGCGTATGAGTTTTCTGAAAAACAGTCTAGACCGTCTAAAAACAGTTTTCCCCAGTTTGGACCTCATCAAGCAGAACTCAGCTAATTTGACAATCCATTCTTTGTACACTATGTCGGGCATTGATTGGCTATCTTGACCAGGAAATTGTGTACACTGTATCGACCGAGGAACTCTCCATGTTGGAAATCACTGCAAGTCTACGGTATTTTGGAGATTTCGTTCAGTTTCTCTTCTGAGATACTTGCTTCCCCAGGACAATCAGGTGTTCAACACCATCTTGATCCTCTAACTGAGACACACGAGTTTCGGTATCTTGGTTCGCATCTCTCTGTCACACATGCACGAACCAGAACAGAGAGTGACGTCGACACTTTGGCATGCCTGTGTCCCACGCACCTGCATGCGTGTGCCTATTCGTGCGAAAGTGCACATGTATGACCGCAAAACTATTCGGGTATTAAAGATACGGCGGGGTCACAGTGGACCATATCACGTAAAATCCGCCGGAAGGTAGCTGGCGTCATTCAGTTGACCATTCGCTGGCATGCCACGTACTCCTCTGAGTCCGCCGTTTAGACGACAGTAAAGTGGACGCATCCGACTGAATCAAGTGACTCCCAACCAAAGCTGGTAAATTTAAAGCAAAGGCCTCCAACCACCAAATGGACGATTATGACGTTCCTATGCGGAGCATGCGAAACTCTATTAGGGACAATCTAAACTACGTTGGACGCAGCGATTTGGGATATTTTTCAGACTTTGCGATATATATATA